GTTGGCTAGAAAACTTAAGGGCCCGGTTTAGGGATTGGCGGGGAAAATTGAGCCACACCCACTAACAATGTGGCTTAGAATACGATTGATTCAATAAAAATTGATAATAAAGCAATACGCTAAACAGCAGCAGTATATCGACTTTAATTCGTAAATTCTGACCCAATTGGATCCATACCTTTCCTCTCGTGTAAACAGGCTTTAAAATCCCATGTAGAGTTAAGAATCAAGTTCAAAACTTATTCAAATTCTCAGAGTTTCAACTCTTTTCGAAGAAGTGCAAATGAATCAGCAAATTGGCCTATGACTTGCTCGTAATCAAGTGGAAAGTTTTCTCTTCTTTTGAAATTATCAGTAGCGCTGAATGATCTTTCAAAGGAAACTTGGGTGCAGCTAAGTGTCATCAAGCATTTATACGCGTTGTAGAGGGAAGGGTATGCTGCTAGGTGCATGTTGTATTCACTATTTTTTTTATAATGTTGTTTTACTAATTTTTTATTAGTGCATGTTGTATTCGATAATCACTAATAATTAGGTTCAGGCTGACTGTTTTTAATTTTCGCAAAAATCCGAGGGTGGATTGTCCTTAATTTGTTCTTAACTTAATAGGGTGTAAACGGTGCGATTGCTAGCTTCTCGCTCTTGGGAGGTGTTCAGGCATTATTTGCCAACAAAGTGAGTGAGCCAGCCTTCATTTGACGACAAGATTGAATATTCACCGAAAAGCAACCACACATGGCTAAAAATCCTCGTTTTGGGATAAAATGTTGTTCAAAAATGCATTAAACAGCAACTCAGCCTTAGCTTGTTCCTAATTTGATCTCAATTTTTGACCAGTTTTGATGCTCATATTCTTATAGAATTGTTATATATGATAAAAGATATAAATATATAAAAAAATAAAAATGAGCGTCGGTACAAAGTTTTGAATGCGCATGGTATGCACAGTTGGCAAGCTTTTACCCTTTTGATAAAGGGTGTCGATGTCGACTTTGGGGCTCTTTCTCTCTTTGTGAATCCCTACCTTGAAAGTCACAGTTTTCCTCTCCATATGTTTCTTCTCTAAAGGCTTGTTTCTTGGGATCATCTGTTTTCAGGATCTCTTTCTCCACCAGTTGTTGCCCATCCCCCCCATAGAATCGCCACTGGACCTGAAGGGTGTGGCACCAAAATCAAATTAGTGCGTAGCACCCTCCCCCCATCATCGTTGCTTAAATCCGTCCCTGGTGATTTGACCTACATGCTTCTCCTCGGAACTCGATTTATTCGAAAAATTTAGGCTATTATAACCATTTTTATAAATCTAAAAGTCAATCTGTCCGTTTTTCCAAACTTTGTTGTGCTCTTTGTTTTAGGGATTTCTAATTACACTTACGTTCAAAAAGTATTGGGACACACTTCGAAACTTCGAAGACATTTTATGCAACAAATTTGGAAATCCCTTTTTAAAATCTTTCTCAGTAAATAAGTACGGCAGCTATTTTCATGAAATTTTCACAAGACATTGTTGATATTTTGAAGCCATTTATGTACGCAAAAAAATAAAAAAAATATCGACCATAAAATTTCTATAGGTTTCGAAACGAGAACATGGAAGCTTTGAAAACTCAAGAACTGAGTTGAGAGAAGCGCTTACAAATTGCTTTCTACTGAAATAAAGCAAATGGATTTCGCGATATTGCATCAATTGTCGGGTGCTCATTGAGTGCAGCTTTTCTGGTGTGTAAAAAGTTTTTCCGTACAAGAACAGTAAAAAATTTACCAAGGGTTGGCAGACCGAAGAAGTTTACGACGCCGTAGGACGAAAGGTCTTTACTGGGGGAACTACAGTAATAGGTTTGAATCCTTACCAGACATCATGTTGTCATGTAAAAAGAAGCTAAATAATGGAACATAAGCAAAAAAATGTCTATAAAAGTCATGAAAATACAAATTTTTCCAGCGTTATAAGAAGAAAATGCTCTCTCAAAGAAAAAACTAATCATCGACGATGAGCTCAATGGCTTCTCCTTGAATGTTACGCAATTTTAAAATTGTACCTAGCTTGAATAAATGCAATAATTTAATAAAATTGTAGCATTTTCGTCGACGAAGTAAACCTTTCTTAAAGCTTAAAAGTTTGATTTTATAATTTCTTTCATAATTTTTTTTGTTATGCAAACGTGAAATTAAAAAGTTGTATTTGTTTGGACAGCTCTAAATTTTTTGGTATGTCATGTGACTTTGCCATTGTTAGGCCATTCAACCCTTCTGCATATTTTGCTGTTATAATCTGGAAAATCGAAAGAATTCTGTGTTTTCTTGGTTATGCGTCATAAGTTGAAGCATTTTCTTATCTTTTTATTCCATTTTGGGGAAACGTAGGCCTGGATTATTTGTAGAAAGACTGCCCAAATCTGAAAAAGTTTCCGTTGCAAAACCGAATCCAAGGGAACGCCATAATTCGTTTATCGAATTCGTCCAAATACTTTTTGAACGTAAGTGTAGTTTCAAATAGCATTATTCAACAATATTGCTTCCAGTATCAAGGTTTCTTCATTTTTGGGTTTCTCTCTTTTTATAGCAAGTTTTTTATGATAAAAACTGAGCGTTTGTAGGATCCAACATATGATTCCATGACATTATAATGCGTTTGCTTCATTCACAACTTGGTGCAAAATGATTCTTTGGAGTTAAAAAATCAAAGGATAGGACGCTAGTGTTTTTATTGTCATAATTCCCATGACAACCCAGAACAAGAAGCAGCAACGCAACCACATTATGAAACTGACAACCACATTCATGACGTCACACAATGATGGCGCAGATTTTTGTAGGATGAGTTGAAAACAAAGCAGGAATGATGGAAGCTGGGCGCGGAGTTGAAGAAGCTTTCGAAGAAATCTTTGGGAAAATCAAAGATCTTAGATTTGAAGCAGTAGAGAGGTATTATTGTTGTCAATATTTTCAGTACAAAACATTTTTTTCTGATCTTTTATCATCAACGTGAGGGCGAGCCCTCCATAGGCCCATACCAGTCGCAAGATATTGAAATCAAAACTGTGATGCCAGTAACTTTATTCTTTACATTACATCCCACATACACTCTTTTATAATCTAAACTTCATTGGCCTCCATTCATGAACAGTTGAGCGCTAAAAAAGACTTTATTTTCTGACTGCCCTTCTGTTTTATCAGCTAGGGATAGAAGCATTTTGTCTCCCGAACGGGAGAAGTCTCCCGTTCGGGAGAAATGTCTCCTGTTCGGGAGAATGCAAATCGTTGGCAGCTCACATTTTTTCTCCCGTTCAGGAGAACTTTTCCTTTAAATGGCTATTTTATGACCAAGAAAGCTCAGGCGGTTTTTTCTGGTCGAATATTCGAATTCTGCATGTCCAAAAACGGGGGTTTATTGACAAGAATATGCATGTTACCGTTGGAAATTCCGTAATGTATGTGTGTATTTGTATATGTATGCATGTAGAGCATTCTTAAATAAATTGAATAACAAACAAAGCTACAAAAACTTGCTTTCACTTTAAGTTTAATAAAGTTTCAGATAATATACTGTCTGTGAGGTAACCTCTACATTAGTTTTATGCATTAGATTTAGTAAAAAATATACACTTACGTTCAAAAAGTATTGGGACACCCTTCGAAACTTTGAAGACATTTTATGCAACAAATTTGGAAAGACTTTTTAAAATCTTTCTCATTTAGAAGATACGGCAGCTATTTCCATGAAACTTTCACACGATGTTGTTGATATCTTGAAGCCTTTTATGTACACCAAAATATTAAAAATATATCGACCATAAAATTTATATAGGTCTCGAGACGAAAACATGGAAGCTCTGAAAACTCAAGAACTGAGTTGAGAGAAGCGCTTACAAATTGCTTTCTACTGAAATAAAGCAAATGGATTTCGCGATATTGCATCAATTGTCGGGTGCTCATTGAGTGCAGCTTTTCTGGTGTGTAAAAAGTTTTTCCGTACAAGAACAGTAAAAAATTTACCAAGGGTTGGCAGACCGAAGAAGTTTACGACGCCGTAGGACGAAAGGTCTTTACTGGGGGAACTACAGTAATAGGTTTGAATCCTTACCAGACATCATGTTGTCATGTAAAAAGAAGCTAAATAATGGAACATAAGCAAAAAAATGTCTATAAAAGTCATGAAAATACAAATTTTTCCAGCGTTATAAGAAGAAAATGCTCTCTCAAAGAAAAAACTAATCATCGACGATGAGCTCAATGGCTTCTCCTTGAATGTTACGCAATTTTAAAATTGTACCTAGCTTGAATAAATGCAATAATTTAATAAAATTGTAGCATTTTCGTCGACGAAGTAAACCTTTCTTAAAGCTTAAAAGTTTGATTTTATAATTTCTTTCATAATTTTTTTTGATATGCAAACGTGAAATTAAAAAGTTGTATTTGTTTGGACAGCTCTAAATTTTTTGGTATGTCATGTGACTTTGCCATTGTTAGGCCATTCAACCCTTCTGCATATTTTGCTGTTATAATCTGGAAAATCGAAAGAATTCTGTGTTTTCTTGGTTATGCGTCATAAGTTGAAGCATTTTCTTATCTTTTTATTCCATTTTGGGGAAACGTAGGCCTGGATTATTTGTAGAAAGACTGCCCAAATCTGAAAAAGTTTCCGTTGCAAAACCGAATCCAAGGGAACGCCATAATTCGTTTATCGAATTCGTCCAAATACTTTTTGAACGTAAGTGTAGTTTCAAATAGCATTATTCAACAATATTGCTTCCAGTATCAAGGTTTCTTCATTTTTGGGTTTCTCTCTTTTTATAGCAAGTTTTTTATGATAAAAACTGAGCGTTTGTAGGATCCAACATATGATTCCATGACATTATAATGCGTTTGCTTCATTCACAACTTGGTGCAAAATGATTCTTTGGAGTTAAAAAATCAAAGGATAGGACGCTAGTGTTTTTATTGTCATAATTCCCATGACAACCCAGAACAAGAAGCAGCAACGCAACCACATTATGAAACTGACAACCACATTCATGACGTCACACAATGATGGCGCAGATTTTTGTAGGATGAGTTGAAAACAAAGCAGGAATGATGGAAGCTGGGCGCGGAGTTGAAGAAGCTTTCGAAGAAATCTTTGGGAAAATCAAAGATCTTAGATTTGAAGCAGTAGAGAGGTATTATTGTTGTCAATATTTTCAGTACAAAACATTTTTTTCTGATCTTTTATCATCAACGTGAGGGCGAGCCCTCCATAGGCCCATACCAGTCGCAAGATATTGAAATCAAAACTGTGATGCCAGTAACTTTATTCTTTACATTACATCCCACATACACTCTTTTATAATCTAAACTTCATTGGCCTCCATTCATGAACAGTTGAGCGCTAAAAAAGACTTTATTTTCTGACTGCCCTTCTGTTTTATCAGCTAGGGATAGAAGCATTTTGTCTCCCGAACGGGAGAAGTCTCCCGTTCGGGAGAAATGTCTCCTGTTCGGGAGAATGCAAATCGTTGGCAGCTCACATTTTTTCTCCCGTTCAGGAGAACTTTTCCTTTAAATGGCTATTTTATGACCAAGAAAGCTCAGGCGGTTTTTTCTGGTCGAATATTCGAATTCTGCATGTCCAAAAACGGGGGTTTATTGACAAGAATATGCATGTTACCGTTGGAAATTCCGTAATGTATGTGTGTATTTGTATATGTATGCATGTAGAACATTCTTAAATAAATTGAATAACAAACAAAGCTACAAAAACTTGCTTTCACTTTAAGTTTAATAAAGTTTCAGATAATATACTGTCTGTGAGGTAACCTCTACATTAGTTTTATGCATTAGATTTAGTAAAAAATATACACTTACGTTCAAAAAGTATTGGGACACCCTTCGAAACTTTGAAGACATTTTATGCAACAAATTTGGAAAGACTTTTTAAAATCTTTCTCATTTAGAAGATACGGCAGCTATTTCCATGAAACTTTCACACGATGTTGTTGATATCTTGAAGCCTTTTATGTACACCAAAATATTAAAAATATATCGACCATAAAATTTATATAGGTCTCGAGACGAAAACATGGAAGCTCTGAAAACTCAAAAACTGAGTTAAAAGAAGCGCTTACAAATTGCTTTCTACTAAAATAAAGCAAATGGATTTTGCGATATTGCATCAATTTTCGGCTGCTCGTTGAGTGCAGCTTTTCTGGTGTGTAAAAAGTTTTCCCATACAAGAACAGTGAAAAATTTACCAAGGGTTGGCAGACCGAAGAAGTTTACGCACCGAGGGACGACAGGTCTTTACTGAGGGAACTGCGAAGTAATAGGTTTGAATCCTTACCAGACATCGTGTTGTCATGTAAAAAGAAGCTAAATAATGGAACATAAGCAAAAACATGGCTATTAAAGTCATGAAAAATACAAATTTTCCAGCGTTATAAGAAGAAAATGCTCTCTCAAAGCAAAAATTAATCATCAATGATGAGTACAATGGCTTCTCCTTTAATGTTATGCAATTTTAAAATTGTACCTAGCTTGAATAAATGCAATAATTTAATAAAATTGTAGCATTTTCGTCGACGAAGTAAACCTTTCTTAAAGCTTAAAAGTTTGATTTTATAATTTCTTTCATAATTTTTTTTGTTATGCAAACGTGAAATTAAAAAGTTGTATTTGTTTGGACAGCTCTAAATTTTTTGGTATGTCATGTGACTTTGCCATTGTTAGGCCATTCAACCCTTCTGCATATTTTGCTGTTATAATCAGGAAAATCGAGAAAATTCTGTGTTTTCTTGGTTATGCGTCATAAGTTGAAGCATTTTCTTATCTTTTTATTCCATTTTGGGGAAACTTAGGCCTAGATTATTTGTAGAAAGACTGCCCAAATCTGAAAAAGTTTCTGTTGCAAAACCGAATCCAACGGAACGCCATAATTTGTTTATCGAATTCGTCCCAATACTTTTTGAACGTAAGTTTATAATATAGTTGTTTGTATAATGAAAATGGTTTAGCCAAAGCTCTGTCTCGATAGTCATTCTAATCCAAGAGTCCGAAAGTGATAAAAAAGCTGGTGAAACACTGGTAACTGGGGGAGGGGGTGTTGAAAATCATGAACGATTTTCACTGGTTAACTACCATTTTTTTCATGGATATATATGTATTTGACGATGTAGCTTTCAAAAATAATGTTTAAAATTCCCGCCAGAAGTTCCTTAGTGCATTTTTGTGCAAAAAGGTGATATATTTTCTCCTTGAAGATAAGAACCTGATTGTTATCAACACAAAACTGAGGAGTATGGAATAGTAAGAGAGTGTAAATATCTAGCAAGTCTAGGTGAAACTCAGAATAGTACAAATGGAGGAAATATTCTTGCAAAAAATTCCTATAATCAACTAAAATATATCTTTGAAAGTAAGAAAACATAGAGTCAAGTAAAGACAAGAATCCTCAGAGGCCATGTTGAGAGTATAATTCTATAATTCTGTTTACAATCACCAAGAACCATGAAAACACTATGGACATATATAACCTAAAGTTGATTCTCTCTTGGTGCTAAACTCGGGACTGGTATGCAGTAGTTGTTGTTACAGAGAGCTGGCGACTCTCCCCACTCTTGGTGAAAATTTGGTCATGTCAGGGACTCGAACCACGGACCCTTGTGTCTGTAGTCAGCGCTTCTAACAACTGAGCCATCCTCGTATGCATAAAGCATTGAAATATAAAGTTTTCCCTTAAATTGCTAGGGGGTACTTTCCCTTTAACAAATAAATCTCAGATAATTGGCAAGAAATATGGAAGCCTTCAAACAACAGCAATCAAAATCATTCATTTTTGTCCAGAATCAGAGTATATATAATAAAGAATATGAATTGATGATGATATTTAACCAGATAAACAGAGGTTTGTTAAGAGCTGCGATTGCTAGTAAAAACTGCCTCAAATGGTGAAAATTTAGTCATATTAATGATATGAAAGGCATGAAGCTTCATTGCACATTCCAACAGTCATAACAGAAGTCACAAAAGGGTCCCACTGGTTCCAAGCTCAATCGTGTTTCAATCAACTACCAATTGACATTCCATGTTTAGATTCCATTGTTGTTTAAAGAATCGATTTGAAGAACACCTGCAAGGGTTGTAGCCATTTAACTAACTACAAGGTTATTACAAGACATAATTGAAGGACATTTTTAGGCTTTTACAGTGTATATTAATAGTTTATTTTTCTTTAATTTTATAACGAGATACTACAACTAAATAGCATTTCAAACCTGTCAAATCAAACCCTTGTGCATATTATGTTGTATGGTGACACAAGATTTTCACATAATGAAAATAAAATAATTTGGGAACCAACGCTAAAATTCATTCATACATCAGAGCGTTTCTTGTAGCACCAGGAAATACCACAATAGTTTAGCTTATCTAGCATTTCATCCTTCTCTATCTATCTTCTAGCATTAAATGTATAGTAATGTAGAAACAGCACTAAAGACCACACCAAAACTTGTCCAAACTTTATCTTCTTTTCAAGTTGTAGCCTCTTTGTCTTTTGATCGAACCAGCTATCTGCACGGTCTAAACAGGATTTTGGTATAGCCTTTGATGCTACTGTATTGTTTTTTGTTAAGGTCAATGGGTAGCCATGCCTATCATGCTCCCATTGGCATCATCTTTGTAATCTTGTTCTTGTAAAATGTACTTTTCAGGCTGTGTATAAACAAAAAGTTTCCCCTGTATAAGTATTTCTCTTATCTTTGTTATAAATAATTCCACTTAAATATAAGGGAACTTGAGAGCTCTGCGGAAGCTCACCAAAATCATCTAAATCATCAACTGGTTGCAATCACCTCCTCAGTAATGGTGATTGCAACCAGTTGATGTGGTGGAAGTAACCTTTACCTTGTATTTAAAAATTATCCTTCAAACCAGTTTCATGGCAGTTTCAAAGAGAGAATCATCATTAGAGGCAGATAGCTTCTTTAATTGTGGTACATTATTGTTTCCAAGCGTTTCTTTATCTATTCTTAGCGAGATCCATCCAAGCCATTTCCAGAATATACATCTGCTCATGTGGCTTTTGCGCATTCTAAATCTTGTCGCAAAATTTATTTTAGATACCATCAATATGTATAGGTATTGTAATTTTCTAAGTTAGATCTCCATTTGATAAAAACAAGTAGGTGTTTACTTACTTGAAATAATTTTTATTTTATAGGAAAGGACACCAAAATGGATGTAAACGAGAAAGCAGAAATCACCTTAGACCTTTAAAAAGCGAAAATTTAGTTGACGTAGCCTTACATAAAACAAGAAAAACTGGACCGAAATCTTTGCTAAAGGAGAGCAAGCTTAAAGTACCTGTAAAAATGTTACCTGAAATATCTAAAAAGAGAACCATCAAAAGAACTTCTGTTACTGACAAAGAGCCAGAGAAAAGTCTGGAAGAATCTGGTGGCTCAAATATAAAAGGAAAAACCATTCATAGATCCTGTAGCATGGAGTTTAGGAATGGGTCTGCTTGCAGTCCAGAGGATTACTACGACACTGAATCGAGTGATTTGGCTGACTATTTGGAACAGGTTTTGTCTTTGCCAAAACCAATGTCTGCCATGGCTGAAATGATGTATGGATAACAGAAGGATGCACCCAAAGTATATACAGCAAAGTATCTCGTACGAAAAATCTTGTGTTGCATTGCGTTACAAACAAAAACTTGTTTGGAGATTATTATGTATGATGAATTACCCCGTGTGTTTTCTTTATTTGCTATGTAAAAAGCTACAACTTTAACTTGTAATATGCTAATGAAATCTTGAAATTCTTGACTGTTACGGTATTGAATTTTTTATTTCCATTCTCATTGCTGTTGAAAATATTAAATATAGAGACTGTGCGAGACAAGAGACAGCGTCGGAAGTCGTTCCCTTATTGTGCAAAGAGAAATCACACAAGGCATCAAGTCAGATAACTTTATATTCCCGTTTTAGTCCTGGTTGCACTAAGAAAATATTTTAGCAGCTCAATGTTTAGACTGTTTTTGTTTAGATTTCAATTTCCTTTCCCCTACTTTAATGTTGATATCTCTGCTATTAAAGTTCATATACGCCAACTTTAAATGGGGTAGGTTGTGAGTATTGGACTATAGATGCATCCCTATCCGACACGGGCTATGGGGTTTGTCTCAACAGCTGTGTCCAAGATTGTAGCTTGATAGAACATTCATCCCCGTGCTTTTTTCAACAGTGGGGACAGCATGTTTCCCCCTCCATCAATCTAACCTAGCCACATAAGCCATGCCCATCAAATTTTAAGTGCGACTTAAGTAACACCCAAGGATATTTTGCTAATTTCTTAATATCAGCAAGTCACATACTTCTGTTGACCATTATCGTATCAAAGTTTTGTGTCATCTTGTGCAATCAAGTTTTGATACATCTGCTAATACTTTTTGCTCTTGTTGGCGCTATTATTTTTTAACAAGATCATTAACACTTTTTAAGATCTGCTTTTTGCTTTTCAAACAGTAACTACCAGTTGCATTGATAAACATTTAAAGTATTCCAACTATATAATGGGTGTGGTCAGGAAAAGTTACAATTTTTAGGATGTGGTCGAAAATTTTAGGCCCCTCAATTTTAGAACAGCAAGTCCCCGGCAATTGACAGTGCCTCAGTATATCGTTCGTATGCTGGTGCAAGACTATGCCTTTCTATTTGCAATGTTGTATAAAACTCGTTTTCGATATGCAAAAAGTACAAACGGAGGCTAGAAGAGCACTTTTGGCGATTATTTTTTGTATGAAAATTTCCATCTTTGTGCGAAAAAATTAACCGACATTTCCAGTCTGAATTTTGTAAAATTTTCTCTATGGGTTTGCGAAAAGACCACAAGTCACCCTCGTAGAAGTGCAATAATTTAGTAGCTCGTTCGATTTTAGTAAAATTTTCTTGCGTTTTTGCCTTAGAGTTATGCACATGATATTGCCGAAGAATTGTGATTTTATTCATAGTATCTTTACTGATTTTCTCTGTGGAGTCGCCAAGTACCAAATTTCCAATCCTCTATAGATAATTTTGCGCATGTGAAACTTTAAGAAGAAATCTTGGTATGGAAAATGACATTTTAAATCTGATGAAGAAACGCAGGCTGAACTGGATTGGTCATGTGATCAGATAAAGAGGTGAAAGCCGTGTTTACCGGTCATACAAGACAATATTCCAAGTTGTCACTCCCGTGGAAGACCTCCCAAAAGGTTAATTGACCAAATAGGCGAGGATACTGGAAAACCGATCCGAACTTTGGAAAAAGATGTAAAAGAAATGGAGAAAATGTTTTGACAAAAAGTGTGCGAATATCACCTCGGAATAATGCATCTAAGTCATGTAAGTCAAGTAGGTCAATCCATTAGTTATCTCGCTTGCTTTATTTCGGTCAATTTTCAACATATATAAAGGATTTTTAAATTGTAGAGGTACATTTTGGTGTTCCTTTAAAAATTTGGAAATATGGTTAAATATTTTTTATGACGTCACGTTTCGGAACTATTCCCAGTCCATTTTTGATCGAAAAGAGGAAGTAGTTTGTTCTGAGAACTGTTGACAGGAACGCATGCGCATAGTAGGGATGATGTTCAACGAAAATATTTTGCTGCAACTGAAGGGGTAATTTTCACTGGTAAGCATAAAAAATACACAATTTAAATTTGTTGAAGACACTGCAGTTGCTTAGACGTGTAAAATCCTTTACCTGAAAACACTTTAACAGCTTTTCCTATTGCAAATGTGGACATAGAACTGTTTTCCGAACTGGCCTAATTCAAAAAATTCTAGAAGAACATGGGATGTATCTGTCCGAAGCAAGAGAAAAAGACAGAAGGAGAAGATGATTACATTGAGTTTGGTAAGTATATTGGAGAAAGAAATTGCCTAGGGCAAAGGCATGGAAGAGGGCAGTATTATTATGACACTGGAGATACCTATGATGGAATGTGGAAAAGGAACAAAAAACATGGTTATGGAAAATATACCTTTAGCAACGGAGAAGTGTATGTGTTTTTCTTTACTTGTGATATTTGTTATTATTTTGTGATATTTTTGCTAAGGGATTCTAACGTTTGGTACAAACTTTCAATGTATGGTATATAGTGTTGTCATCGTAAATAGCTGCTTGTATTAGGCAAATTGAATTATCGGCTAGTTATGCCGAATCATTCAATTGAAATGTTTGGAATTCAACCTAGGCTGATGGTGCGCGCGAAAATTCATTGAATTGCTGCATGCCAAAATCTGATGCCAAATGATTATCCAAGTGAAGCTTTCACATAGAAAGCCGAGGGGCAAATTACTCCAATAAAATCTCGTACACCTTTTTTGTGAAAATCCTATTATTTTATATGAAAATCCCCAGAAATCCTTTTTTTAGGAAAAATCTTGTACGCTATTTGCAAGAGTGAAATACCCCTCATAGAAGGCATTCCCTAAAATGAATGAGCACAATGCAAGGTCTTGTAAAAAGCTGTTTCAAAAGTGAATGAAAGTTCAAAAAATCTGCATTTTTAACATTTGGTTCATCTAGATGATCAATAATAACTCATATCCATGGAAACAACAAATAGTATTAAAATTGTTATAACAATGGTTATTCTGTGTGAACAATGAACGGACATGAAAATGCAAAGCAAAATTATAATGCGAATGGTTCACCGCACTGTATGTAAAACTAATTTTTTCCATTATAAGGCTAGTTGACTTTACTCATCCTAAACAAACGAAATAGTCACCTTGCTTTCATTAATGCTCATCCCAACCTGTGATCTTTTAGAACTGAAGGCATCTTTGAAAACGATAAGTATGTTGGAGAGCTGGCACCACCTGAAGTATCTTACGATGACAATGAGCCATTAGCTCAAAGTGAAGTGTCAAGGTAATTGTTTTGCTTATTTCAGTTTGTGTAGCATTCACAGATATATAGCTTGACAGATTTTAAATTGACAAAATACTACTGGAAGACTACTTCAAATTTGTCTGCAGTGATTTCCTGAATTTTTCCTTGTCAAATATGTGAATTGCTATAAGCACTCCTTAATGAATGAATAGCATAAAGCACACTGATCCTTTTCATCCTGATTCATCAATTAACACCTTACATTCTTTGATAGGTTTTCAATATTGGTGTAATTTAAAACCCATTTGTTTTCAATATTTATTCAAGATAAAACTCATTTGTTGGAATTGGAAATAATGAGAACTGGGTCGAAACAAGGTCCTTTTCTACACTTGCCTTTTCTACACTTGCCTTTATTTTTTAGACCAATGGAGGAGCCCATGGTCAGGCCCTCTAGCAGAGGTGATGCTGAAGTTCGAAGACAAAGCAGACAAAAGAAATTAGATGAAATGAAGAAAAAATATGGAGTTAGAAAAACATAGAATGCAGGTTTCCTTAATTTTCAGAGTAATCTTAACTGTTTTTAATTTGCTTAAAATTCAATAGGGCTTTTGATTATGCTTATTACTATTCATAATTATTTCTTCGTGGGAATTCCAGGTTTTATTTGTTTAATGTTTTTAATAAAGTTTAATAATATCACATGTGAAATCTTATTTCCCATGCAAAGATGGTAGATATTCTAACAGTTTGCAAAATAGGACCTATGGTTTTCTTCATATATATCTTGTTGGTAAGTTATACTCTTGACAAAAGTGTGCGGGGGGGGGGCTAAATCCAGATCAAAAGAGGTGGTCAAGTTAAGAGTTCTTTATATGCTATAGCTCCCAGCTCCATAGTACCTGCGTTGCTTTTCCCACATCATTTCATATAGTAACCCAATATTAGCATCAGTTATGTTTGAGAAGAGTTATATCCAACTATCAAATACCTCTTACATCTTTGAAAAATGTTCCTGAGTCATAAAGCATCATTCCTTGCAATAAAGACATAATGCATAATCTTGTTTACCTTATTCTGTCCCAATGCATCTAATCACCACTGATTGGTTATTGTAGTGACAGTTAGCCCTATTGGATTATGTTTGCAATATGTTTGAAATTTTTAGCAACTGTAATTAGAAGTATAATTAGAATCAAATTAACTTCTAGAGGTTATTTATTTTACATATACAGTGGAACCTTTAATAGCAAAATCTTTCATGACCAAGCTTAGCGGTGTTGTTTTAAGGCCTCTGTACATGGAAACAGAGGCAGGATCTCGCCCAGCTGAGTTTACCGGCCAACATGTAAATGTAAATTGCAGAGTTTTCTGCCTAAGCAGGATAAAATTGTCTGCACGTTTGGTACCATGTGTAGCATTTTTCTCAACAATCTGGCATTTTTTGTATCTCTTTAGTTTTCTGATGGTCTTGTTTCTTTTCAGCAAAAGGCTTTTTAAAAAAATATCATCCTTTGCTTTTCCTCAAACCAAAAATGAGCACAAATTCATTGCAGATGAAATAACAGCAGAATAAAACATAAGTTTTTTTCTATCATCAAGATCGGTTTCAAATTCTTGGAAATTTTTGCTGGAATCATCCTGATGCAAAACTTTCTTTTCCCATCTTTGCATAGCGCCAAACACATATTACTTCCTTTTTTGCAGAAATTTCATCCTGCCTGCTCAAGTTTCCCAGCTACATGTAAACACTGGCAGTTGATTGAGCCTGTATTGCCAGGAAACTCTGCTACCCGGAAAACTTGTCTCCATGTAAACAGGCCCTTAGAGGTGACCACTATGGATAGGGGGTGATTAAAGCAATGTTCTCCATTGAGAGTGACTCGATGATACACTTGCTTTACTTATTACATATGTTTCAAAGTTATATAAAATAATCCAACTGGCTTACAATGTAACAATAAACCAACTGGCTGCAGATCAGAAGGTAGTCTTGCACAAAGGTGACTGTTATTAGAGGTTTCACTGTATCTTTGATTCTTCTTCATAAGGCAGTTCTATGGACTACCGATATAAGCTCCATTTGTCAAATTTTTTAAAAAATGGCTTAAAGTTTACCATATGAATTGAAATAAGCGAATAGTAAAGATGGACATATGGTTAACTTTTTATGACATACAAGTTATTGAATAAATGATTTTTTCATATTGACTAAATTGCATATGGACTTAAGTTTGCTAATCATGCACAAGGTCCTATGATTGTCTTTGTCATGATCTATCAAATGTTGGTTTACCGACTTGACATTTGCCAACAAGAGAGGCTGCATTTACAGCTATCTTTGTAATGGGGAAGTGTATGGATCTGCGGATTCACGGATTGGCAGTATTTTTGTACACGGATTACGAAATTTTGATTGTTTTGGTACGGATTTGCGGTTCCAGAGATTCTGGCAGACGTCGGGTTTCGACGAATATGTGGAGTAGATTCGAAAGATACCTGCTGATTTCTGACAAGCTGTGCCTGTCTTTTTGTACTGTTTTAAAATAACATTAGTTCTTTATTGCACAAATAAATGACATCTATGGTTACCTTCTGCTATTGGGCATGTGATGAAAAAACTGCTCATTTGACGGGAACATAAAACATGTTTCCAGATTATGTGATGAAAAGTAGCAGATTTGTGGATTCTGCTACCCCCGGTCATATGCATAAATATTATTTGTTTTTTGAAACCACCCATGAGTTTTTTTTCTATTTCTAAGTAAAACAACTTATTGAATTGTATCTAATTTTAATTACCAACCAATAAAATTCGTGGATATCTTGGATATAATAAATGGATCATACCAAGAAAGAGAAATAAATTTTTAACTATGCTGATGATGCAACTTATTCTGCTCTTTATAAACTAAAAAATATCATCTATATACAATTTCAAGTTAAACTTTATATCATGCTTTGTAAAATATATGTGAATTAATTTGTTTTGTTTCGTTTAGATTGTTCGTGTGAAGGATAGTTTTATGACGTGCATTCGCCCTCCAAACAACAAAAGCCCCATAGTGCATCCCTGTCGTAGTCTCTAGTGGTACCACACCATAGATGCCTCTTTCTAACTGATGTGCAGTCATGGTACATCCTTCCATCGTATTTGAAGGGGAAGTGACAACAGGAATTTTCAGAATTTCCCCCAAATGTTTCGACGTTGCATGTTGACTTCTTGCCGGGAACTTCAGTTGCAGGCTTTACTTCTTTCAATCCACTTTCTTCATTTGGTACTTTTTCGTTTTCTTTATGTTCCATTTTGTCATGTAATATTATCCCTTTAGGATCAAAGCAATTTGATTATACAATGATATTTTGCTACCTTCCATTTTTATCGGAGTTGAAACTTTTTATTGCAGTTTTCTTACTTTTTTTCTTATATTTCCTTTTCATATGAAACTCCGTACGATATTCATTGGCATATATTTCATATTATATGCAAAAGAGAATGGATTATGTTTGTTGTCATAGAGCTTGCCTGTAATTTGAGATACGATATAGGATTTCATTACTCTTGTGGGAAGTTTTTAACGCAATACTTACGTACACAAAAGCTTTGAAATTGAAGATGGCAGGTATTTTTAAAGGGCATATGTAAATCAAAAGCACAGGAAGAAAGAAACAAACAGAACATTTTATGTTTGCTGATATTCTGTCCAAAACTATAATCTTGCTACGATTGTTGGTACACTTACGCAGAGGCAATGTATTTTGAAAAATTCCAACGCCTCTATTTCTTGTTTAGTTTACCATGTTGTTTAATTTGCAGTTTTGGTCACATGCCTTCACTGATTGGAAGGAGTTAGGGGGGGGGGGTGTGAACCGACTATAGTATCCAAAACTTGTTTATAGCCATGCAGTGTATTATATTTTCATCCCCTTCCAAGTCAACAATATTCTCTACTGTTCCTACTTAGAAAAGCCAAATTTTGGCATACTTTACCTTCTGGTTTTGCCGGTGAAGAAATTTCGACTTCAACGAATTCTCCATCACAATCTCCGGGCATTAAAGTGAATGAGTCCTTCCCGTCCAGCAAAAGATTCGAATCCTTCTTAGAATCTTTTGCTGAATAAACAACGGGCTCCATCCGGACGATATTCTGTACTTTTTGAAACACTGTGTTCAGTTTGTACATCTTTCCTTCAATCACAAATTGCTTCTTTTCCTGACTTCTGACACTCCTCGTAATGGTCACTGGCTTTCCGTAATTGTTAATAAACTTTATCAGGTTGCAACGTTCTGGAATAGGAAGATAGTGGAAATCGCTTTGAAAAATGATGGCTTTTCTAACCAACCATATGTATGTTTTGTAATAGATTTTGTGGGTGATTTGAAAGTGCGTGTTTAGAAAGAAAGGCAAGGGAAGATATGAAGCATGCAAGTTGAAGGTGTAAAGAGAAAGACATAACTTAAAATCAGACAAAACTTTCCACTGTACATTTCGAAAGCCATGTAACGAAACGATTTGCTTTAACGATGCAGGCGATGGTTTGGTAAAACGCTGACTTACTCATTCATCGATTGATTTTTTCCTAGTGAAAGGTCGCACTCTCTATGGTAACGAATTTCTGTCAAGCCAATCTATTTCCAATTTTTACCCCCACCCTCATCCTTATTAGAAACGACTGTCTGAGTACATGTAGAACAAACATCAAAATAAGATGCCAAACTTACCACCGTTATTGAATTTCTCTTTCTCAGCTTCTCCAGATTTCTCCAACTTTGGGTGCTTTTCAAAGCTCCCTTCTTTCATTTCCTTTGAAGGCTTATTTCCCTGTGAGACAGCTGCCTCGTTAGGAGAGGCTGTTACTGCATTTGGCTTTGCAGTTGTAGAAGCGGTAGTATCAGTGATTGGTCTCGTTGTGGGTGTCAGTGCATTCGCCGATTTCTGATCTGAAAAACATTGCTCCAGCGTTATGGAAGACAAATTCTATAAAAGGGAATTTGGTATCATCCTACTTATCATTAATCAAAAATCAAAATGATTCATCACTCCGCCAATCGTCAACACACAATCACCATTCCTCAAACAGCAGCTATGATGATGATGATGATGATTAATTATCATCTCATCATGATCATTATCATCACCGACCATTATCAATTGTCATAAGTCATTATCATCATCAGCATTAAATACTTCACTTGCTTTAAACATCGAAATATCGAAAAATGCACCCACCGACTTTTTCGCAAATCCCAAAATGCTTTTCGTCACATTCCACTGAAAACCATGTACCGTCCTGTCCTGCTGCACCACAATCTTGCAAAGCATTGTTATTTGCTGGTTGTCTTGGCGACCAGTTCATGAAGTTCATTACAAGTAGCTTGGTTTTGTGCCATATCCATTGGTTTGAGCCTTCTACATTAAGACCTAACAAAAGCGCAGACGTATGTTTAGAAGGGTAGGAATAACGTGCTGGAACTTAATAGCTTGTTGAGAATGCTGTAATGTTTCGAATTTCTCTACATTTCATATAAAGAGGGCGATTTATTAGAGATTGATATGAAGGCAGCTTATTACATTGAAAATGTTTCCTGGGCCGTCGCTAGCTATTGTGCTTGCTTTAGGGGGATTTTAAGATCCCATTTGCTAATGAATTGGGTGAGCCATCCTTTTTTACGACAAGCTTGAAAATTTGCCGACTAAGCACCTAAAGATGGCAAAAAGTCCTCATTTTGCAATAGAATGTTTTAACAGGTGTGTAAGAAGAAAGAACCGCATGATAAGTTGGGTGTCCGCCGGATTCTGTGTATCGCGCCCCTCCTTTAGCGACGGTCCTGCATGCTTTGTCTGTTATACCCTTCTAGGCTCCATAGTCATGGAAATCTAGCAATCTTTTCCAATATAAGCTGTCGTGATCCTCCCCTACCCTTACTCCCAACTATTCCTCCCCACCACTACAACCTTGTTGTGTGTTACCCAATTCCTCTTTTCTCTTTCCTGTCCTGTTCTCACCAATACCCTTTTGTCGCTTGTTCTCGTTGTTCAAGTCACCAACTGGAAGGTACCCTGTTGGGTAACGCTTTCATGATTTTTATTCATAATGATGTGACCTACTTTTCCCATTTAGTAACGTGACATTTACATCGCTTTTAACACTCCCCCAACACAAGAATACCATGGATAAAAGGAGGCATAACAAAGACCAACAAACTTACCTATCCAGAAAAACTGTTCATTTGGGGAGTTTGATTTCTTGATAAAGCCATTCAATGACACTTGATCAACCACGTTTGTCACTGTTGCTAGATAGCCCCCTGCACTTTCACAGATATCACTGTTTTCGTAAAATCCATTTTTTGCTGCTGTCATTGAGTACATTTTTCCATTTCCCTGTCTTGTCCATTGTGGGTCAGGTATTTCATCACGCTTTATGTCTGTAAGAGATTAAAACTTTATGTCGACATAAACTTATTTCACGGGGTTCTGTCTTTGAAGTAAGATTCACGTTTTTCTATCTATAAGAAGAAGCTAGTACTATGATACCCAACAATTTAAAAGACTTTACTTTTAGGTTCAAGAAAAATTAAGAAACTTTAAAATTTCAATTTTTTTAAAAAAAGAGCCTTCTGGTAATTTTTTCTGTTAATGTTTTTTTTGGAAAAGATACTTTGGATTTTTTCCTGCGTGGGTATTTCGTGACGATTTGCATTTATATTCTTCCAAAAATATTCGAATTTGAAATGATAAGACAATTTTAGGTCCCAAAATAAAAAAACCAACTAAGAAGCTTTTAGTACTAAAACTTCTCCAAAATTTTGATGTCAAATTAAGAAGCTTTTAGCATTAGTGCTGATTGAAGTTTCTTATAAATTAGAAAACGTGTATACTTGTGAATAATAAACCATTCTTTTGTGAGAGAGTTAATCACAGGAAGGGTACAAGAATGTGAATTTGTGGTGTCACTTTGTTCTTAGGCAGTGTAGTCCCTTGAAAAGGGAAATCAAAGAAAAAAGAGAAATTTTACTGAAGTTTTTTAGGTGATGAGTGCAAATGGTGCCATCGATTCTTCGTCAAAGGGGGGGGGGGGGTTCTGAGTGTGATTAAAATCATTTAGCAGATCTCTATGCAAATCTGTGCATGATTTAGGTCAGAGGCGAACTATAGGCAGAAAACGTCATGTTAGATGCGAGCAGGAGGAGCCGTGCTGAATTTGAGCGAACCAAACTCAATTTTTCGAAGCTTCTATTTTATTCTATTAATCCCTAAAACAAAAATTTACAAAATGACCATTGACAACATGACATGGAAACTAATTTAAATATGATCAAAGTCGCTAAGCAAAATTCATTGCTGATTTGCTCTTCTAAGATTTGTTGAGCGAATGGAAATCGTTTTTAGATACCTTTGGTCAGGCGTCAAGAAGATTTGCAAATTCAATGTCATTTGCTGTTGAAGCTATGACACTTTTGCATTTCTGGCAAGACCTACATAGAGCTATTTGTATCTGTGATAACTGTATCACCTTTTATTAGACTGTACCTTCTTTAAGCGATATACTTGATTTTTTTGCACAGGTTCTTACAGTGCAATTTCTGTCTTGGGTTTGTTTCAACCTATATAAATGACTGTTGCCTGATGATATTATAGCCCACTGAAATCTATCCTATCTATCATATCTATTTGAAAGAAACGGTTGATACTGATAGAAGATAAGATTTATGATACTGTTGTATGAATTATGGAATAACACAGATAACTATGGATAAGTCAAATCAACTGGAACCACCATACACCTGTGATTTTGGAAACAATTTACTCACGTAGAAGACAAATCAGTCATACATTAGCATAAGTTATGTCAGGGCCAACGGTTAAAACGAATCAAGTATGAAAAGCAATAGCATTGTAATAACACGTGATTATCTTAAGGGTAAACATGATGGCATGAGAAAAAATTGGGAACAACTTTCTACTTTTACATAGACGAAATCTGCAGTTCAAGTTAAAAGGGGCTGTCTTTATGAGTTGTACAATTGGTGACGGTTGTACAATATAACGAATTTAACTTGCTTTCGGCGTGACAACAAAGATTCTTAAAAGCTTTTCTAAGCGATCAGAGACCATATAAACACTCTCGAAGTCCCATATAAACACAGTCGATTCGTTTCCTCGCTAACTGTAAAATCAACATACCTCTGAAGTATTCTCCTTTCCGCAGTTTTCCAATGCGGTATCCATGCAGTTGCAAATCAAATAAGATTAACATGAACATGAAAACGATTAACAGATTTTGGAAAACTTCCATAATTTATTCTCTTCGTTTTCATTATTTTTGCTCCATTATTTATATCCTTTAAAATCTTATTGATAACAAATTTCGGCCTCGAATCCAAGCGCATAAAAGACTTGTTCATGAAAGGGCTACTTGCTGATCTCCACGGGTCAATCAATCTGAATGAATTATGCACAAATACAATTACTGTGCATAAATCATGCATACCCGTCTGACTGGTTCATTTCAAGCGATAACATATGATAAATTTTGCCGTAGATGTTTTTGTTCGAAGCAACTATAACTTCCTTGCTTGCAATTTTCCTTTTACTGTCTGCTATGATGCATTTTGACCTCTCAGACCTGACGGTAAAGAATCAAGAAAAGTAAAATTTATCAATGAGGGAAATGTTGTTCCTGCTTAATCTACCATCAATCGATGCTATGGTCCAACTAACAATCTTGAGGTTCAACTGCAGTGGCAAAAATTGCGGGTGTGGAGGCCGGGAAAATCATAAAACCTGAAGGGGTATCACACCTCTTTGCACCCCATGTAAGATGTGCCTCTGTGTAATCAGGTTTTCCACTGATGATACAGTAGGTGTTTGAGTGGAAACAGTCTTTTCTGGTGGCATATTTTGTTTCCTAACTTTTTCAAACAATTGTACATCTGCAAAAAGTGTTTTTGTTCATGGGCGTCTCCTATTTAATAAGGGCGTGGTCCTGTTCATGCGGCAGGACCGACTATTTTTGACTGGCTTCGCCACAGCACTTTGAGACTATCTAAGTTCTTGATGCTGTCTAAGCAAGATACCTCGCTGCGTTTCTCTTTGATAGTCTTCGTGTCTACCCAACATTCAAATCGTATTGATTGGGTATTAAGAGATTAAGAGAAGAGTACAAGTAATGAGCGTCGGCCAATGCAAGAGTAGAGTACAAAATCAATTTTGCATTCTTTTTACAATGAAGAAATAGAAATGCTAAATATATATCCCTAAGCTATTTTTACCAGCAGGAAACTGCCTACTGAATATAGATCAGTTTATGCAACGTTTTAACCGACTTTACGCCTGATGTAAGAAATGGTTTCTCTTGTAGCAATCGAGCCTAGAGAATGTTTCCTGAATTAAGCAATTTTTGCAAGCGTATGCAGGTTTTGTTTCCGTTCAAAATCGAAATACAAATGATTATCGGGTTGTTACTGGCTTCTTATTTCCATGCCACTTAAAAGAAGAAGACGTGTAGGTTTAAAGTTGTACTAAAGATTGTCTATTGATAAAGGGATTATTTATAAAAAAATTAAAAGGGGATTATATGTATATAAAAAATTTGAATTATAACAATCTAAGGCCCCGTTTACACGATACCGTTTTCATTTGATATCGGATTCGGTTTCCCAATCCGATATGCAATTTCTCCCTGTTTACACGATACCGTTTTCATATCATATCGGATTGGGGCTCTGTCTACACGAATACGTTTTGGGTGGGCGCTGCGGGAATTTCGCCTTTGTTCTACATTCTCTGCGCAGTAGCATTCTGTTATTTTGCCAAGGAAGCCATCTAGGCGCCACATCCGAAGCTTTCAGGGAACAAGAACTTTGCGAAATTATAACTAAACTAACTTAGTATGGGGAAAGAGAAAACCAAAGAAGATATTTGTACATGGACTGATAAGGAAATCGAACTGTTACTGGAAACAGTAAAGGCTCATTCTTCGCAATGCTCAAACGAAGGAAAGGATTGGGAAAGCATCAAATCAAAATATGACAAAATAAAAGAATTGTTTATCGAAAGGTACCCAAAAGAATCAGAGGAAGAATTCCCAACATCTTTGAATAATTGACTGTTTCTGATAATGAGGCATCGTTTTCATTTCATATCGGATTCGGCTGTTTACACGAGAACAGAGCCATATCGGATTCCTTTGAAAACGCATTCAGATCGTTTTCATTTGAAAACGCAAAAACGGTATGAAGCATATCGGATTCATTCGTTCTCGTGTTAACAGAATGCCACAGGCGCGCAACTACGGGGGGGGGTCCTGGGGGTCCAGACCCCTGCCTTTTTTCTCAAAAGGGGAAAAGTGCCCTTTTTCTTGGAAAATTGCTTGAATATTTTGGTTATTACGCTAAAATGATTGGTCATACAGTAAATGACACACTCCGGAGATGTAATGGACCTCGCAGGAATACAGATAAATGATTTAGTCAAACTTTCGCGCACTTGTTGGGTCGAACGTCATCATGTTGCAGTAATAGAGTATATCTTCAAGCCCCAAATCTACAGCATGTTTTATGATGCGCTACGCACTGGCTTTGAAGAAGGATGGTTCTGGGACGCAAAAACCAAAATAAAGGCACAAGACTTTGAGCGGAATGGGGCCTCTACGACCTCTGGTAAAAAGTTACAAGAAAGAAACCAAGACATTTTTCAAGCCTGTCACATAGTTTACAGGATCATAGAGGACCTTTGCATGAAATGAGCGAATGCAGAGAAATATTTTCGGACTGGTATTAGCAAGCAGTAAACATGGCACAAAAAGTTGATGTTCAGCTGTTTCGTTCCTTGTCAGTATTACAAATCAGCTGAAGGCAAGACTTGGAGACAGAAACCAGCTGAAGTCAAGGCTCGCGGAACTGTTCAACCTCCTCCCATCTGTAGTGCGAAGCAAAGAATTCAATAATAATATTTTAAAGCGCAAAATGTCTTCGGAAATGGAAGATGATGGGCTGCTTTTCAAAAGTGAGCTGGCGCTGGGAAAAGGAGATGACAGCAGGGTCGCCGAGAGGTGAACAAAGGGGCAAATTGCCCTAGGGCCTCGAGGTCTAGGGAGCCTCATAAAACAATGAATTCCTTTTTTAAATGGAATTATTCAAAGTAACAAAATTGCACTAAAAAAGTAAAAAATCTTAAACAAATTAGTGAATTTAAGCTATTTGCAAGGGTGTGGTGGCAAAATTTTTGCTCGCTTTGCTCGCAAGAGGCATTGTTTTTTCCGTTCCCCCCCCCCCTCGGGCCTCCTAAACTTCTCGGCGGCACTGGATGGCAGACAGAAAGAAGTCATGTGCATAGTTAACATTAAAAGGAAAAAATAAATCACACCTCACCACAAAATAAACCGTACACCACAACTTTTCTCTATTGATCAGTTTCCCTTGTCTAGCCTGCAATATTTACAGATTTACTAACTGCTCATATTTTCGGCGGACCTTTTATTAGTGCCCAACATGAAGTTTAAATAGTGCCCTTTTTGTGTGTTAGACCCCTGCCCTTTTTAATTTCTGGTTGCGCGCCTGAGGCCAATCCGATATCAAATGAATCCGATATCAAATGAAAACGGTATCGTGTAAACGGGGCCTAAGATGTAAGAAAGGTACGTTCGAAATCTTAAAAATTATTTTTGGATTATTTACTGCGTATTTCTGTAGCATTTCACGAAAACTTTAATGGCGTATAACATTTGCAATCTTATGAAAATATTATACAGCTGGGTTTTTGGCAATCAAAGGATCTACGTTTAAGCAAAATGGTGACAAAATTATCCATGCAAGTGGGTATTACATGGCCTTGTCATTACTAAATGTTTGGATTTACGAATTCATAGCAATTATTAATAGGCTGGTTGTAAAACTTTAACTGTCCGCTTAGTCTCATTACTCCATAGTTGCAGAACCATTGAGAATGCAAAATGCAAAATTTTGTATGCAATTCGTGTCACGTCACATTTGATGCAAGGAACGTTGCGTTGCATTTCGTAGAAGACGCTTCAAGTTGCATTCCAAAGTCGCCTCACATTTTAGAAAGGCGTTTTGCGCTCATGTCATGCAAGACGCGTTGCCAGATGTCTCGAATAAGGCGCGTCGCGATGCGGTGGATTTGAAACAAGAAACAAGACGCGCCGAATCAAGCGTCTATTCTCTATTCACTTCATAGGCCAGACAGAAACGAGACCAAAGTAAGATGGTTAATCGCCATGACAATCAATGGAGGACATAAACATGAGTATTAACGTGACATGAACCCTACCAGCAAAGATGGTCAAAATAACCTCTGAACTGATTATTCGTCACGGAAGCCATTCAAAAAAGCAGAACTATGAAAATGACTTCCAGTTTTTGCGAAGATTAACCCACATATATTGTCAAGAAAAAAATATCGATGAAATTGTAAGTATGATTTTGTAGAATTCGAACTTTAGGCCAGAATTTGATTTGGGCTTCGCTAGAATGCATCTGAAAAATGATAGGTTAGAAACTCAGTGTTAGTCTGAAATATTTTCTCTTTTGAAATGTTCATTACAAGAATATTATTCCTGTATATGATAGCGGTTCAGATAGCATACTGAACCGTTATCACCTGTGTTCTGTGAAGTAGATCTATTGATATAATTGTAAGGGATGAACTGTTGGCAGGGAGCTATAGTTTTACCAAAAACAAATCTACAATATCTAGGCAGCAGGTATAGTTTACAGGTTAAACCTAATGTTTGTAGAATAATTTTAAGCTAAATAAGACATAATTCTTTATGACATAATTTTCTAAGAAAGGTTCAATTGAACAAGAGTCCAAAATTTACTTTGTGTTGAATTGGTGTTGAATTGCTTGCATTTTGCCACATCTCTTTCCATAACTTTGAATCTTGTGCTTTTCTCATCCAATTGATGCCCACAAAGAAGGGTGCTGTCATATTATTGTTATCTTCATTTTGGCCTACCTAATTGCGGTATTCTGGCTATTTGGAAGTCTCTTTTCCTATTTCTTTGTATCTATTCACGACCTTCTCTTTGCCTTTTAAGTTTTTTCTATCTTCTCTAGTATGCACCTTTATGTTTGATATATCCACCTTCTCTACTCCGCATGTCATTATATGACATTGTCCATTATTTCTTCTTGAGGCAGTGGGAATCAGGCTTTGCAACTGGCTACTGATGGATATCTTCAATATCAGTATGGGAAATCTTCATTTGACCAATTTTAGGTCCACTAGGAGTATTACACCTCAAAAATCATTTGAACCCAGATCTTGGTATACCATTTCCTTATATCATGACTCACTGCCTCAGATTACGTATTTCAGTAGATTGGTCCCGCAATCCTATGGAACTTGTTGTGGTTGTAGAAATATGTATATATGTAGCTGTGATCCTACAGCTAAAGATTTCTGGTACTTTAGAATGAATACCTTAAGATTTCACAAATAATTGCACTCGTAGTGACTACTATGTCACATAGATTGTACATATTATTTGCATAGTCAGTTACGAGCTTCAAAGTAATGCTTGATCTATTAATCCCAATGTTTCCTTTTTTCAACAGGTAAATCTTGAAGTATGCAAAAACCTCAGTGTTTTATATCTATATGATAACAATATCAAGCTGATCAAGAACCTTTCATCAACCTCAAATCTTACCCATCTTTATCTCCAGAAGAACCAATTAACCAGAATCAGTGGCCTCAATGGGCTTACGAGACTTTCAAAATTGTATGTGGCATTAATGTTTCTAAATCTCACTTCAATTAAGTATTTTCATATAATCCAAATAGCGTACCAATGGGATAGTGACATTGGAAATTGCTTCTAAATTTTTTATTCTACGATCATTGACATATGTTGATCTTCCATGCAACTATGGTGTTGAGAATCACAATTAAAAGTAAAGTTTGCCAATGAAGTCATACATAAAGACACTCTGTTTCTATTATGCCCACTGTAAGATGGCTTTTGTCATCCAGCTAAAAGATTTTACTGATCTTCAAAAACTAATTTTATGTTGTATAGGAAACAAAATGAAGTTTTGGATTTATGCTGAATATATATATATTTATTTTCCACTAATTTCTCGGAAGGTTGTATACAGCCAACCAATTTTTTAGAAATTTGAAATGGATGATATACTCCTGTGTTTTTGTGCTATTCCTTTACTTTCTGTGATCATCTATTTGCAGGTACCTTGGAAGCAATTCAATATCAGTTGTTGAAGGCTTAGAAAAGGTTGAAAGCTTATCAGAACTTCATGTAGAGAACCAACATTTGCCCCCTGGGGAATCATTGCTGTTTGATCCAAGGACAATTGAATCATTGTCTGTAAGTCTTGTGATACTTTGTTATAATCAGCTTATTTTCTCACCTCTGTGTGGTATACCCATTCTGTAGTAATTCACAGATTCACTCAATTATTTCATTTTTATTGAGTTGCTTTTTTGTTGCTGTGTGGTAACAAGGAAAAATGACTAAGAGCATTTCATAGAGCAATGCACAACATTGCAAAGAAGGATAGATAATTTTGATGAACCTGTGAAAATTTTTTATTATTCAGCAAATGCTCTTATAATCACTGAAAAATTAAGTTGGGTGGCCAAACAAATATAATATTATGTTGAGTTTGTTTTTTGTGTGCTGTGAGATCAAGTTATTGGATCTCAACATAAATTTTTTTAAACACAGACTATTTTCCCTGTATTGAAATTATATGTCACTTTTCTGCTACTGAAAATTTTCCTTCAGTGGCATATAAGCAATTTTGAAAACATTTATTAGAAGCTTGATGTTATCAGAAGCCTTTTGAAATGTGGTTTCACTTGACCTAACTAATAAGTTTAATGTTTTCCTAGAAATCATTGACAGTACTAAATGTATCCGGAAACAACCTCACTGAAGTATCTGAACTTTCACCCCTTGGCAGAATAACCCAGTTCTTTGCATCTCATAACAACCTAACAGATCTTTATGACCTTTCTTGTGCTGTTCGATCCTGGCCTACTCTGTCGAAACTGGAACTTACTGGAAATCCATTTTGTCACAAGAAAAAATACCGAGACAAAATCATCCTTATGTCTCGACGACTGGGTATGTTTTGAAACTTTTTATCTTTTTTGCCTGTGTGCTTCTATCATTGTTAGTATCACGACATTCATGGATGAAAGGTGTCGCCACAACCATCTATGGATAAAGCATACGTAATTGAATATCTGGCCAATTTATACGCCATAGACATATTTAAAGTTGCTTAAAGACTCATTGCTAACAATGGGCCTTTGCGAGCGTGGCGACGATCCAAACAATACACCAATTCGACTTACGGCCTCATTTTGAAAAATTCTTTTGTACAAAATTTTTGACCTCAGATTCGGATTGACAGCAATGATTTTAGTCTACTTGTAAGTTTTCATTATGATATTGCTCACGATATTGATTTTATGACGACATAAAGATAAAAACTATATAAGAGATTTGACCGTGATTGGCGACTAGGGGGGTAAAGTTGCCCCCCGAAACGATTTTTGCGGTCAAATCCCTTACAAGTTTCCAAACTTCATTTCTTGGTAAAATCTAAAATACAAGCTCAAACAATATGAAAAATGGTATCCCGCCTAAAATTATGACGATAAAACCAAATCTGAACTTAAAAAAGTTTGGAGAAATTTCCAAAACGAGGTCGTAAGTCGAATTGGTGTATGGCAGTAAACTTCTACGGATTAACCAAAATTGATTTCAGACTGTCTAAAAATGCATTATGGGATGCTTGCGTAGCGCAATGGCTCATTGTTAGCAATGAATCTATAAGCCATGTTTCAATTAACAACTTGTCAATCAAGTAAAATGATACCTCTCAGACGCTTGTTGATTGGTCAGTAGTTCATTGACAGGTGGATTAAGCCACTTTGGTATTTGGCAATTGCAGTTAAGTGGACCCCCGTTTCAATAAAGCATATTATTATGAAAACGGCGAAGATTATGTCATTTAAAAGATAAATCGTGATGTATTGTGATCAATTTATCGACAGTTTTTGTTCAAAGAAGTAATATAATGCCTTGGCATACCGGCCCTGTCTGCAACGTTTCTCGCATAAATACATTACAAATCTTCAAAGTAATTCTGAGTAGAACAATTAGCCAAATTTTTTCATCGCACCGGTGGTAGTTAGAATTACCGCTGTTGATAAATGGATGAGCGACTTTTCGATTTATGAGATTAAGCTAATGTAACTTTGGAAGTAAGTAGATATTTTGATAAATAGGTTTGTCAATTAACAGTGTTTAGCATAAGCTGGTGTACGATATATTTTCTCCTTAGTAATGCTTGATGGAAAAGAGGTCAATGAGGCAACGAGATTGTTTTTACAAAGCTGGCAAGCGAATAAAGATATGAAAAGAATAAAACGGAAAGAAAGCAGGCATGACTCTGAGGCTGATGGAGTGGCCGACACAGAGCATGGCCTTCCACGTTTGACGATGCAAGCCTCCTTGGAAAGCAAGGGTCTTACAACTGAAGGGTCATTTGTTGTCCGCCATCCAGGTCCGTATTCGAAGCAAAACAAGCAATTTGCAAGCTTATTAGCAAAGGCTTCAGAGCGCAAGGGTATACCATTAGGCACAGATACAGTAACAGCAAGATAGATTTAGCATAAAAGGTATGCAGTTTTTGTCAAATTGTATGTCTGCGTCGTGCAGAAAATGTTAAATTGTCATTCTTAATCTTTTTGAAATGATATTTCCTCTTCTATATAGGAATGTTAAGCAAAGTGCGCGACAGGACGGAACGAGACATGACATGACATGACATGACATGACATGACATGACATGA